AAGAAATTAATTGGCTAACTAATATATATAGAAAAAATTAGCCGGGCATGGTGGCACAGCCTGTAGTCCCAGCTACTCGGGAGGCTGAGCAGGGGATCCCTTGAGCCCAGGAGTTTGAGGTTGCTGTGAGCTAGGCTGACCCACGGCACTCACTGTAGCCTGGGCAACAGAGTGAGACTCTGTCTCAAGGTTGCTGTGAGCTAGGCTGACTCCATGGCACTCACTCTAGCCTGGGCAACAAAATGAGACCCTGTTTCAAAAAAAAAAAAAAAAAGAAGGAAATTCTGTGACACATGCCACAACATGAATAGACCTTAAGGACATTATGCTAAGCGAAATAAACCAGTCACAAAAGACACATCTGTATGATTTCACTTATACAAGGTTTCTACAGTAGTCAAACTCATAGAAAGAAAAAGGAGGATGGTGGCTGCCAAGGGCTGGGGAGAGGTGGACATGCGAGTTGTTTAATGTGTACTGAGTTTCAGGTCAGGAAGAAGGAAAGGTCTGGAGATGAACAGAGCTGATGGCTGCACAACATGAATGTATTTAATGCCACTGAACTGTACACTTTAAAATGGTTAAACTGGTAAATTTTATGTTATATACATTTTAACAACATTAAAAAATTAAATTTTAAAAATATATGTAAATTTTATTTAAATTTATTTAAATTTATTTTATTAAATCAATCTATTCATTTATCATTAATTATTTGATTAATTAATTTAAATTTAATTTATTAAAAGTTTTAAAAATAGTAAAGCATTCCAAGCAGCCCTACTATGTTTAGATGTATTCCTTAAGGCCTTGTTTGTATGGAAGCACTGTGGAGAAGGGCACACACACACGTGCACACACAGAAGTCCCCGCGGTTTGGGAGAAGTGCACTTTCAAGTCCTTCTCTCTATAAACACTGCCCTCCAACCGCACTTATTAATTTGTGTTCCGACCTCATCGGGGGCTGAGACAGCGCTTGGCAGGGTTCCAGACAGAGGGAAGAGCATATGCCAGACCTCGAAGGAACAGGAATGTGAAACTTGGATTGTAGGACCCACATCTCATTACGGGGTGCACGGAACCATGTCCTCTCACCCATGGCACCTGTCATGAGGGGGTCTTACATTTGTTGGTATCATTGTAGGATTAAAACTCTAGGTTCTCACCTGGCTTTATTTTCCTCATTATTGTATTACCTGTACTCCATATTTAACCTGGAAAAGTAGGTTGACCAAATTAGTGGAATGGAATGAATATATCGTGGTAGATATCTTAGGGCTTAAGAAACAAATCAAAAATGGCCTTTATGGCTGCGCGGCATCTCCTCACCAAGGTCGACCGCTTCCGATCCTTCACACGGCCGGAGAGCAGGGTTGCAGGCGCGGGTTCTGGGGGTAAATGCCAGGCTCCGTCCTGTCTCCACCACTTCGGCACACGGGTGCCAGGGCTCCGTGCCCCCGTCCTCATCTAGAGAATCGGGATAACCTGGCGCACACAGCTGCTGCAGTGAGTCGGTACACAAAAGCACAAACACACGAATGGCACGAGAGCTACACTGTGTTTGCCTGCTATCTCCCTCCCTGTCACCTGCGGGAGTCTCCTCCCCTTTGGCACCACCTAAGTGTCTCAGACGCACTGAGTGCAGTTCCGTGCCACTCCTCACGCTCACGCCACAGTGCAGGGCTCAGCAAACATGGCCAGAGCCAGCCTCCCGCCTACTTCCGTATGACCCGCAAGCAGAATGGTTTACACGTCTAAATGGTCACATGTATCGTTTGCATGCGTCATGGAAATCCACAATGTCAGCAGTGGAACACAGCCTCGCCAGACAGAGCCACCCCCAGCGAGGCAGCATCTCAAGCTGGTTTTCTCACCACGGCAGGGGTCGGCAGCAGTGACAAGACCACCTGGCCGAAAAGCCAAAAGTATTTACTGTCAGCCCTTTTCAGAAAGAGTTTGCAATCCTGCACTGATGCCTGCTTCAGGAGGGCAAGAACTGCGTCGCCTTTACCGCTGGAACATGTCAGCACCTGTCAAGGACTGCCGTAGGAAGCATTAATTATTTAAATCCTGGCGCTCGAATTAGAGCGCGGAACATTCTGACCTCGTTCTCCTTTGTCCGCACTCGCTCCGTCTTCCCTGGGCTGCGGGATGTCCTGGCTCTCCTGGGCGGAGAAGAGGAAAAATGGCAAGAGTTGAAATCAGCTGCGTGCGGGGGCGTCACGGGCTGACTATGGTTTCGAGACACTTTGGGATGGAAGGAGTTCTGGAAGGATCTCTCTAGCACCTGAGCGTAGTGGTTAAATGCCGCTGATCAAGCTGGCAGTGGGAAGCCCCCTGGGATAGCAGCGTGAGGTGAAGTTGCCACTGACACAGGTTAGGGGTGGATGTCAGGCAGGGTGGACGTGGCTCTGGCTCATGGCAGTAGAAGAGCTCACCTAGCACGTGTCACCAGATCTGCCTCTCCAGAGCACGCAGAGACCCCCATACTTCACACCACACTATCCCAGCATTCCGGGATCGACAGGGAGAAGGGCTGGGCACTTGTAGTCCCAGATAAGACCTGCACGGAACATTATGAACTTGGGCATCATTATTATGGCTGGTCTAAGCGGGCACCCTTGGGTACCATGTGGGCCTCCAAGTGGGTCATCCCGACATCTAGCCCTCCTCGTGTCGGTCCTCTCCGGTCTGCCTGGCACCCGGCACAGACGCTGGCAGGGAGCAGGCCCTCGGGGAGTGTTGCTGGGCGACCGGGTGGCTGGCTGGAGAGGTGGAGTGTGCAGGGGCGAGGACTCCACGAGGATGAATGAATGCAATGAATGAGATAAAAGGAAGGCAGGTGGGTGGAAGGCAGCCGGCCAGCCAGGGTGGTGAGTACCTGCATCCCTTTGTCACCCTTTGTCCTCTCGTCCATCTCTTCCAGGCAGACCATTGTGCCAGGATTCCGGGACGCAGCAGGTGCCTTGCCTGCATGATGTCCTGTGCGTTTATGTTCCCAGTGCAGATGCCAGCGGCAAGCAGAAGCAGCAGATCCTCATGCTCAGATGACAGACTCTGAACTGAAGAGGGAAACAGAAACCGAAAGGAGAAACTTTGTGCTGTGCCATGGACACAGCTGCTCCGTCCTTGCGTGGGAAGGGATGGTGTTCCCTGCCTCAGACCACACCTGGCCAGACCTGGACAGAGTGGTCAGGGCCAGGGGAGGGGCAACCTGGTAGTAGACCAGCTGGTACATGAGAAGACCATTGTCCTTAGAAGGTGACAGGTTATCAAGAACACTTCTATGTGAACAATCAATAAGAAAAGCCAAGTTTAAGGCCAGGATACTCCTCCATTTCCATTCTACTAGACGAGAAGATGCTTACTTACCTTACAGGACTGTTGTAAAGACCCACTCTGGTCACATGTGCAGGTGAAGCACATTATAAATAGTAAAGCAAACATTAGGATTACCATCTGATCCAGCAATTCCACTTTAGACACATACCCAAAATATTGAAAGTGGGGACTTGAACAGAGCTGCCGTGTTCATAGCAGCATTATTCACAACAGCAATCCAGTGTCCACTAGTAGATGAATGGATAAAGAAAATGTGGTTTAGCCACACAATGGAATATTACTCAGCCTTACAAAGGAAGGAAGGCCGGGCGCGGTGGCTCACGCCTGTAATCTAGCACTCTGGAAGGCCGTGGCGGGGATTGCTTCACAGGTCAGGAGTTTGAAAAGCCTGAGCAAGAGGGACCGGTCTCTTTACTATAAATAGAAAGAAATGAATTGGCCACTTATATATGAAAAAATTAGGCGGCATGGTGGCGCATGCCTGTAGTCCCCGCTCCTTGGTTTGAGGCTGAGGCAGGAGGATTGCTTGAGCCCAGGAGTTTGACGGTTTGCTAGTGAGCCACCGCGCCCAGCCTGTGATCTCTTTTTTCCTTCCTATTTCTCCCTTTTAAGATGGGACTTTGTTTTGGGAGAAGATAACTTGTCTGGTTTCATAGGTTCACAGATGGAGAGAGATTTTGCCATGGGATGAGTCACACACTAGGTGTCACCTATAGCTGAGTTAAATGATTTAGATGATGGGACTTGAGACTTTGAGTAGATGATAGATGAGATTTGGGACTTGGAGTCGATGCTGAAATTGTTAAGATGTTTGGGGCTATTGGGATGGGGTAAATGTGTTTTGCACAATGGAAGGAAATCAACTTTGGGAGGCCAGAGGGCAGACAGTTATGGGTTGAATTGTGTCTCCCAAAAAGACACATTGAAGTCCTAACCCTTGGTACCTATAAATGTGACCTTATTTGAAAATAGGATATTTGCAGATGTAATCAGATTAAAACAGGTCATACCAGATTAGGGTTGGCCCTAATCCAACAGGACTGGTGTCCCTGTAAAAGGAGGGAATGTGGACACTGGCAGATACAGAAGGAAGACGCCATGTGAAGACGGAAGCAGAGGTTAGAGTGATGCTGCCACGAGCCAAGGAGTGCCGGGGGCTGGCAGAGGCTGGAAGAAGCAAGGACAGACCCTCCTTTAGAAGCTTCAGGGGGAGCATGGCCCTGCTAACACGTTAATCTCAAACTTCCAGCCTCCAGAACTGTGGGAGAGTAAATTTCTGTTGTTTAAGGCCACCCAGTTTGCAAACTTTGTTACGGCAAACCTAGAAAAGGAATACAGATCCAAGCCTGGCAAATAGTTACCAACAGCTGTTTGTTGGATTGAATGGTGATTAAAACCTAAATTAGAAAATGAACAGTGTTTATAGCTTTCTAGAGTGTTGCAGAGTCACCAGCTTAGAGCTCTTACTAGCCACAGAATGGAATAAACATTTTCCTTTCCTTTCTCCCTAATGTCCTCAGAAACACAGATGAGCAATAAACGGCTCCTTAGGGCACTAAAATCAACTCAAAACGCCTCTTCCCTCGAGAAACATACATGCGAAGGATTCTTCAGACGATGGGAATGATGAGAAATATGAAATAACGTATAACAAACAATGCAGGTATTTTAAAATTCACTGTTAAAAAGATAGCAAGTTACATGGGAATCAGTTTCAGGAATAACTTTCCTATTTTTACCTTTTTACGGTTATTGCAACAATTGCAGGAATTAGTATAGTAAACTCCTCTGGTAATGTCCTCAGCAAGCCCACTCTGCGTCGTTAGCTGCTGAACAGAAGGAAGCCTGTGAAGGTGGTGTCGTCATCCTCATCGGCAAACAGGCCGTTGAACCTCTCTCCTCCTGTCACCTGCATCCACACCTCGTCCCCGAGCTTCAGCTGCAGGACGATGCCACCAGAGGCCTGGTCCTCCGAGCTCATGTAACCATCCTTGGTGTGCAGTACTTTCGCCCCATTTTTGACCAGAGATACCTGGACGTTCCTGGAGAAGACAGTGATGTGGTAGGTGAAGTAGTAGACCCCGGCGACATGGCACGTGAATTTCCCCGTCGCTACGTCGTAATGGTTGAATTCGTTATAGAGGATCTTGTCGAACTTGATGGGTACATCGGAAGACGGGAACTTGCTTAGCACTGTGAGCCCCACCGTGAAAGCACTTTTGGGCAAGGCTGGAGTCTCACCAATTTTCCCTTTTTCTCCTCGATCCCCTTTCCAGCCTCGTATTCCCCGGACTCCCGGCTCGCCCTGGGGCCCCACGGGGCCAGCTTCTCCCTTGGGGCCGGGCTTTCCAATGGGGCCCACGGGGCCAGGTAAGCCAGTTGGGCCCAAAGGCCCAGTGTGGCCCCTTTGGCCCTCTCTGCCAGGGGGGCCCACGTCCCCTTTCTCCCCCTTCTGCCCCGGAGGGCCGGTCTCTCCTTGGAGGCCCTTCTCTCCCATGGGACCAAGCAAGCCCTTTGGCCCGTGTTTTCCTGGGGGTCCCCTGGAGCCTTGATCCCCTTTGATGCCTTTTGCTTCAACGTTTCCATCTGCTCCTATTAGAGAAAGAGCAAGTAAAGAGATGGTTTGTGAAACAGTCTCTTGTGAACAACTTTGGTTTTCTATTATTCTGCATACAAATGAAACACAATAGTAGCTCACAGGTTCAGTGAATGCACAAGGGTTGGAATTCACTTACTCTCAAATTATACACATACACACACCCCAATTTAGTGGGCTCCTGTCTACTAAATCTGAATCAAGGCTCACATGGGAAATTACAACTCTTTATCACCTACGTTCACGTGTTGGCTACTCAGTGGTGCCGGTGCTTGAGGGCAAATGCTCTTCAGGGCAGGGGAGACCTGCAGAAGGCAGGTTGATAGACACTCAAGCCCTGGTTGTGTGATGGCCCCGAAAACCTCCTCAAGGGGGTGAACACAAGATCAGTCCCTCAGGGTGGCACTCCTGGCTCTCTGCTGCCCAGCGCTGCCAGCCTGTCCACCTGCCAGTTACGCTGCACGGCTCATCATCCTACACAAGCGCTCGCTGCTTCCCGATCCTTCCACGTGGACGGGAGAGCAGGGGTTGCAGGCGCGGGTTCTGGGGGTAAATGCCAGGCTCTGTCCTGTCTCCACCACTTCGGCACACGGGGTGCCAGGGGGCCTCCCGTGCCCCCGCTCCCTCATCTAGAGAATCGGGATAAACCTGGCGTACACAGCTGCTGCAGTGAGTCGGTACACAAAAAGCACAAACACACGAATGGCACGAAGAGCTACACGTGTTTGCCCTGCTATCTCCCTCCCTGTCACCTGCGGGAGTCCTCCCTCCCCTTTAGGCACCACCTAAGTGTCTCCAGACGCACTGAGTGACAGTTCCGTGCCACTCCTCAGCGCTCACGCACCAGTGCAGGGCTCAGCAAACCATGGCCAGAGCCAGCCTCCCGCCTACTTCCGTATGACCCGCAAGCAGAATGGTTTACACGTCTAAATGGTCACGTGTACGTTTGCATGCGTCATGGAAATCCAAATTTCAGCAGTGGCACACAGCCTCGCCGGAACAGAGCCACCCCCAGCGAGGCAGCATCTCCAGCTGGTTTTCATCACCGCGGCAGGGTCGGCAGCAGTGACAGAGACCACCTGGCCCGAAAAGCCAAAAGTATTTACTGTCAGCCCTTTTCAGAAAGAGTTTGCAATCCCTGCACTGATGCCTGCTTCAGGAGGGCAAGAACTGCGTCGCCTTTACCGCTGGAACATGCTCAGCACCTCGTCAAGGACCTGCCCGTAGGAAGCACTTAATTATTGTTAAATCCTGGGCAGCTCAGAATTAGAGCACGGAAACTTCTGACCTCGTTCTCCTTTGTCTCCACTCGCTCCGTCCTTCCCTGGGCTGCCGGGATGTCCTGGCTCTCCTGGGCGGAGAAGAGGAAAATGGGCAAGAGTTGAAATCAGCTGCGTGCGGGGCGTCACGGCTGACTATGGTTTCGAGACACTATTTGGGATGGAAGGGAGGTTCTGGAAGGATCTCTCTAGCACCTGAGAGTGGTGGTAAATGCCGCTGATCAAGCTGGCAGTGGAGCCCCCTGGGATAGCAGGTGAGTGAAGTTCCGCTGACCACAGGCTAGGGGTGGATGTCAGCAGGTGGGACGTGGCTCTGGCCATGGCAGTAGAAGAGCTCACTAGGCCACGTGTCACCCCAGACTCTGGCCTCTCCCAGAGCAGCAGAGACCCCCGTACTTCAGCACCACCGACCCGGCTTCGGGGTGACAGGAGAAGGCTGGGCCAGCTTGTAGGTCCCAAGATAAGACTGACACGGACACATTATGACTTGGGCATCATTAAGAGCTGGTCTCTAAGCGCACCCTTGGGTACTGTGGGGCCTCCAGGTGGGTCATCCTGACATCTAGCCCTCCTCGTGTCGGTCCTCTCCGGTGCTCTGCCCTGGCACCCGGCACAGACGCTGGCAGGGAGCAGGCCCTCGGGGAGTGTTTGCTGGGCGGCCGGGTGGCTGGCTGGAAGAGGTGCGAGTAGATGGGCGGAGGACTCCACGGATGATGAATGAATGCATGAATGAGATAAAAGGAAGGCAGGGCTGGGTGGAAGGGCAGCCGGCACAGCCAGGTGGTGAGTACCTGCATCCCCTTTGTCACCCTTTGCTCCTTCTCGTCCATCTCTTCCAGGCAGACCATTGTGACCAGGATTCCCAGGGACGCCAGGGTGCCCTTGCCTGCATGTGTCCTGTGCGTTTATGTTCCCAGTGCAGATGCCAGCAGCAAGCAGAAGCCAGCAGATCTTCATGGCTCAGATGACAGACTCTGAACTGAAAGAGGGAAACAGAAACCAAAAGGAGAAGACTTTGTTGCTGGTGCCATGGACATAGCCTCTGTTCCTTGCGGTGGGAAGGGGATGGGCTGTCCCCTGCCTCAGACCCACACCTGGCCAGACCTGGACAGAGTGGTCAGGGCCAGGGGGACAGGGCAACCTGGTAGCAGACCAAGCTGGTTACATGAGAAGACCATTGTCCTTAGAAGGTGACAGGTGATCAAGAGCACTCTTCATGGTGAACAATCAATAAGAAAGCCAAGTTTAAGGCCAGGATACTCCTCCATTTACCATTCTACCTAGACGAGAAGATGCTTACTTACCTTACAGGACTGTTGTAAAGACCAACTCTGGTCACATGTGCAGGTAAGCACATTATAAATAGTAAAGCAAACATAGGATTACCATCTGATCCAGCAATTCCACTTCTAGACACATACCTCCAAAAAATATTGAAAGTGGGGACTTGAACAGAGCTGCCGTGTTCATAGCAGCATTATTCACAACAGCAATCCAGTGTCCACTAGTAGATGAATGGATAAAGAAAATGTGGTTTAGCCACACAATGGAATATTACTCAGCCTTACAAAGAAGAAGGGCGGCGCGGTGCTCACCTGTAATCATACATTGGAAGGCCAGGTGGGCGATTGTAAAGGTAGGAGTTTGATTGCCCTTTGAGAACAGAAGCGAGCCGTCTACTATAAATAAGAAAATGAAGTTGCAACTAAAAATATTATATAGATAAAATGTAGCGGGCATATGTGGCGCATGCTGTAGTCAGTACTTGGGAGGTGAAGGAGGAGGATTGTTGAGCCAGGAGGTTTGAGGTTTGTATGGCTGGTGATTCATGGCGATCACTCTAGCTGGCACAAATGAGACTGTTTCAACAAAAAAAAAAGAGGAATTCTGTGACCATGCCAAACATGAATGCTTAAGGATTATGTAAGCGCAATAAATCAGTCAAGATACACCTTGTATTTTTCATTCGAAATGTTTCTGACGTAGTCAATCATAGAAGAAAAGGGGATGGTGGTGCCAAGGCGGGGAGAGAGTGGCATGCCAGTTGTTTATGTGTAAAGTTTCAGTAGGAAGAGGAGGTCTGGAGATGAACAAGCTGATCTGTGTGCACAATGCGATGTATTTAATGCCACTGAACTGTACATTTAAAATGGTTACTGTTAGATTTTTGTTATATACATTTAACATAAAATTAAATAAAAATATATTAAATTTTATTTTTATTTATCTTATTTATTTTTTAATCCATCTATTTTATATTATTTTTGATTAATTAATTTATAAATTATTATTAAAAGTTTAAAATAGTAAAAGAATTCCAAGCAGCCTATAGTTTGATGGTTTCTAGCCTTAGTTTGTATGGAGCCTGTGGGAGGGACAACCCCGTGGCACACGAAGTCCGCGTTTGGGGGAAGTGATTTTAAGTCTCTTTTAACACTTTGCCCAACCGCATATATTTTGTGTTCGACCTCATCGCTGAGACTGCGCTTGGCAGGTCAGGAAGGGGAAGAGCAATATGAGATGGAAGAACAGGATGTGAACTTGGATTTAGGCCACATCTATTACGGGGTGCGGAACCATGTCTCTTCACATGGCACTGCATGAGGGGGCTTATTTGTTAGGTATATTGTAGGATTAAAATCTATGGTTCCTACCTGTTTTTTCTCTTATTGCATTACTGTACTCCTTACTGGAAGTAGGGTTGACATTGTGGATGGGTGAATATATCGTAGGTAGTATCTTAGGGCTTAGAAAATCAAAACATAAAAACACGGATGGGTGTAACTGGCAGATCCGCCTCATACGCGACGCGGTGCAATTGAAGCCTTTGGGAATTATCAGAAAACAATCTATATCTTTGACCCATCCCTAAAATTCTCTTAAGATTCAATATTGTGTGCAAAGATTTAAAGCAAGAGTTATTTATAATAGTGAAAAGGCCCTGATGATGTGTAACAACGGGGAGAGGTTTAGCAAGTACAAGAGCATGTAACTACTGAAATAATTATGAAGGTCACATAGAAATACATAAAAGATATATGTTTGTGTTGAACTTTTAAAATATAGACCAAAGTGCCATGTATATGATGAATGTACCTATGTATATCTGCATATTGACAAAAACTAGAACTGAATATATGCAAATGAATATGGTTACTGTAGAATGGTGGGGTTATGGGAGTTTTTCTTTTTTAAAAAACAATGCCTTTTTACAGTGCTATACAAATATTTCTAGAGATACACCTTTTAAAACCAGCGTGAGTCTCTGTCATCCAAAGGGCTATATCACCATCTGGTGGAAATCTCACAGGGTGCAGTCTGATGCAAATAGAGCATTTTGGGGAAAGGAAGTACAGATGTTTCCCTTTGAAGCCACAAACTCACTCCATTTCAGGAAATTGAGATTTCTTAGAAACAAATTCCATGAATAATCTACACCGGACTCCCTTGTTTAACTCAGAAGTGGCTGGTAGCTGTCAAACCTAAATGCCACCAACTAACCTTTGTTGAGGGTTCTATTATTTTCCCTTCCAACTTTTCAAAATGTACAACAATTATTCCAGCAATAAAAAGATCCCAAGATCATAAAGGTCTCAAGTTAGGACAAACTCCATTTTGTTCCCCAGCTAGGGAAGAGCCAGCGTGACAGCAAACATTGATCCTTCTGTGATTTTTTTCACTAGTTCTGCAAGCTCCGTGCAGGCGCAGAGTGTGTCTAAGCTTGCCTAGAGACCGTGGAAACCCTTCCACAAATGATTCTGATTAACCCAACATACTTTGCGCTTCCAAATACATAGTGGCACTTCCAAAGTCGCGGCACTTTCTAACAAGAAAATCTGCAAGGCTCGCACCTCAGCGTAGAACACTGAGGGTTTGCACTAGGACTATAGCAGAAATTATATTAATGTTATTTTGAAAAATAAAAGACAATATTTGTGCCTCTCACAAAGCTATGAGTTGGACTCTCAGTTGTATTTTAGTTCAACCACAGTTAGCCCCTCAACTTTTAAGTCTCGTGTCTGGTCTTTTTCCGGAAGGGACTGGAGCTGGGACCTCCTTCTGCTTCCCACCGTCTCTCCCTCCCTCTTCTCTCACCTGGTTTCCTGCCACCCCGAGTCCACGTGTTCTCCATGCCAAGACTAGTGATCACTTAGTAGGTACCAACCTGGGTTGGAGCTTTCTGAAGACAGTGACTGCATCTTTCCAGTTCCTTGTTTTCAGTATCTCAGGTCAAATGTTTATTGAATGAATGAATGAAAGGAATATTATCCTGGTCCCAACTGCGTGTGGCTCATCACTTGGGGAGGTGGCTGGGTATCAAATCTGACCCTTGTCAATGCTTTTCGTGGAGATTGCTGGTCATCTCCAACATCGCTTCTCACTTTTGTCCCGTGCTAACAGAAATTTTAGCTGCGCACCTAGCTGCCCATGATAGACTATACCTCTCCGCCTCCCTTGCAGCCTGGATATAACCATGGAACTAGATTATGGGCTGTGGAAACGAGCAAAAGTGATGTGTGCAGTTGTGGACCAGACCTTAAAGGGAAAGGGTGTGGCCTTCCCGGGCTCTTTCCCTCTTCCTGTGTCTGTGTGCACAGGGTGGGGGGTGGCTTGGACTCCTCGAAAAAGGGCAACAGTTGGCGATAGAAAAGTCCTGGTCTTAGATGACTGTGCAGACCAGACCTTCCCTCCCAGCCCAGAGCTGACATGAGAGCATGGGAGAGAAATATACTTCTAACTTGCTTAAGCCACTATTATTGGGGGTCTCTGTGACACACAGTTAGGCCCACCTCCTGGCTAATGCAAGGTGCCCGCTGCCCAAGGTGAGGCTGTGCATCAGAAGGGAGGGAGGCTGGCGGGCATCTGTGGTCAGCCCAGGCGGCAGAGCTGCTGGGAACGCACTGGACATCCAACCCTTCAGGTAACATATTTAAAAACTGACAACGGTCACTGTCTTAGATGCATCAAGACAATCACTGTGAATGCACAGAGAACCATGCAAACGTTCTGCAGAATGCCGGGATCTCAAGTCTGACACACTGACTTGGGAGGGGCAAAGGCACATAGGCTGCAAATGACTTTGGAGTTAATGTTGTTTTGTCCCAGATAAAATAGGTTCTTATTTAGTTAGCTTCTTATGTCTGCGTCACTCTCCTATGCTTTACCTATATTTCTCCTTCACTACTGAATCTCTTGATAAAGGGTCACCCAGGGCCCTTCTGATTAATTTTCTCCAAGGACATAATGCCCCTAAGTCACAGCCAAGGTTAAGGGTTACCACTCTTCAGGACTCTTACTTCCCCAAATACTAGGATTTAATACAGACCTGCCAGGGCCTCCAAATCACTGAGCCTCAGGTTCCTTGTGCATAAAATGCAAATAATGAACTAACGTCCTCCTACATCTGATAGTCTAAGAATCCAAATATCTCTAAGTTGTCTTCACTGAATATATTTTCTTCCACATGTTGTATATATTGTACACTTTATGTGCTTCTTCTTCAATATATATTGAAGAGTTTTGTACTATGCTGTGCAAATTAGCATAGTTATAAATATAAAAACGTACACATTGCAATCTGTGCAAAATAATCTATAAACTTCTCTAGAAAGCTCTCAATAAAGGTCTGCTATTCTTGTGGTTTATTTTATGATTTTTATTCCTCTTCCCAGACAGTTTGCAGAGTTCTGGCAGAAGAATTCAAAAATCTGCATTTATCTCCTGTTTAGCCTCTTCCTCAAGTGTGCATTTGGGAACCGGCTTACCCTGACCTCAAACTCTACAGACATCTATTTTGCAAATAATTAACCAGGATTATCCAACACTAATAATGTAAGAGCTGTTCTACGACCCACATACCTTAGATTGAATGTAAAGAAATCCTTTCCCAGTGCACTTACTGAACCGCAGGGCTGCAGGCCGTACCCAGGTGCTGTGCAAACCATGAATCAAGGGCAAACTAAATAAAATCACGCCTTCCTTCCATGCAATTCTCTGGTGGATATGCCTGAAAAATAGCAGGAAGGGGAGGGAACAGAGGAAGGCCCACGATGTCTTGGAAGAACTTCAAGAATTACAGCCAAATTGAGTCAGGTAGCATCTTCTACGAGCAGCACTTGATTTAGAGAACTTAGCTCCTCTTTTAATCAGATGCGGGAACTCAAGGTGTTCTCTCGAGTGGAGTCTGGAGGAAGGAGTCCCCACAGCAGGTTTCTTGCTCACAGTGATTTTTGTGCCTTTACCTGGCAATTTCTCAAAGTTGACCTTGGGGCAATGATGGGTGATAGGACAAAACTGAAGACAGTGACAGTGGCCCGGTCTTACCTGGATCCTGGAACCTTGAACTGCTGTCACTGAGTTGGATTTTCAAACTTCTGTGTACGTAATTCCTTTTGATTTTAGACATTTGTGTACGTAACGGTTTAGTGCCCCTTCCCTTCACGCATGCACACCTACCTGTGACAGACGAGGACATGGTGCAACCATTTGTTCCATGCCCTGTGACCGTGATTCTGGACTTTTCCTCTTAAGTGTCTATTAACATTTATCTGAAACTTAAAAATAGCTTCAAGAGGATAAATGTACCCAAGGCTGTCCCCCAGGTGCAGAGGAGACCTGAGTCGGGAGGCAGAGGCCGCAGGGGGCATGGAGCCCCCCTGGGCAGAGCTGACCCCCGCCCCCTACTTACTCTCACTCTGCCTCAATTTCCTCATCACTACAGCCGCCAAAATGCTGAGGGCCCAGGGTGATGGGAGGATTCCAACGGATGGCATAAACTGAGCTGAGATCTGGTTTCTCGTGGCCATCCTACTGCTGGCTCTGCCTCGGGTCCTAAACCCACAGACCCCTCTAGTCCCTGCGTAGCAGGCGGGCTCTGGGCACCAGTGGCTGGCCGCTCCTCTGCACCCATGCAGCCTCATCTCCGACCCCTCCACCCCAGGCGTCTCTCCGCCCCCTTCCCCTGCCTGTTCCACCATGTGGGCCGCCCTGAAGCCCCCCACCCCAGGCCTCTGGCTCAGAGTGAGTGGCTTGTGTCCACGGGTCCATCTTCCTCACAACTCTTGCAGAAGAAAATGCCACTACACGCTCTTTATTTCCACTCCTTCCTATACACGGTGCCATTTTGAGGCATTCTTTGGGTTCCGGGGCTCTCGGCCTCTGCCCCACCCAAGCCGCCGCCCCCCTGATCCAGCCCCAGGAGGGGCAGCAGATGGCTGTGGGAAGGAGGGGGATGTTAGGAGTAAACAAAAAGTGGGGAGTAGCCGCTTGGCAACCTTCTTAGGAACCCTTTTCTGATTAGTCACAGCAAACAATGGGCTATTGACTTAGCTTTTCTGAGCTGTTAATTAGAGAAGGAAATTCTTACCCACCCCACCCCCCAAGGGTGAGACCAGGCCCACTAGCCCACCTCCCGTGGGAGGGGGCCGTCAGCAGCTGTGGCGTCCAAGGGCACACACAGAACACGCGTCCTGTTCGCCTGCTTTTGGTCACTCCTTGCAGGAGCTGCAGCCACCAAGTAGGGCTGACTTCGAGTGTCACTTGTATCTCACTCCAGCATCCAGTCTAGTGACATCTTTCAAGTCAAGCAGCCTTCTAGGTTCCCTCCCCTCAGAACCTTCTTTCTCCCCCACCTCCCTGGTGGTTTGAGGGAGCTCACGATGGATGAACTGCTACTGCAAAGAAGTCTACAATGTCAGGGCGGGAGAGCATCTGCAAACCCCAGAAACTCTCCTGGCACTCACTCACTATTTTTTTCTTTTAAATCTATCTTATTTTGCTACTCAAATGCATTGCGAGAACCGGCTTGGCAAATTAATTTTAATATCCAGATACAAAACAACAAATATAGATTCACAGCATTTACAAGAAATCATTCAAATAACATTGTAAATATATATATATATATATTTTTTTTTTTACAAAAAAACTTCAGTCAACAAAAATACATATCAAGTTAAAGCAATCTCGCACACCGTACTTTAGCTGTCAACAGCTAATTCATCGGTTTGGAAGCCATCGCTTGACTTAGACAGAAAACATCACCTTGAGTCACGTCGTTCATGAGTTAAAAGGTTGCCAAAAGCCTTGCAAAGTAGGTAAGCAAGTCATACACAAGGCATGTTAATATTTACAAAAATGACCAATTATTAAATTACAGAATCAAAGTATTTTCTAAGCACAAAATGTCAATGCCCGTGAGATGACTAAAGGCAACAATGAAAAGTATGTTGCAGCTGGGCGAACTTACATTAAATATTGAAGCTCCTGCTCTTTTCCTTCAATACCAACTGGTTTCCACTCATTTTTTTCAAGGCCTTTGGAATTCCACTTTCATTGCATTCTGGAAACAACAGCCATTACCCAAGGGAAATTTTAACAGAGAGAACAATTTGTAAGGTTAAACTTACTACAGGGAAAACTGGTCTGCTAGCAGTTTAACCCAGAATTTGTTTGTGTCCAGCATCCCTGGCCCGTGAGCCAATGAAGGGACGTTTGTTCATACTTGTTGGCCCCGTCCCGTGAGGGACGCTTCTACGTTTCTCTCCTCCTTGATGAAATAATAGTGCAGAAATGCTTCCCCTTAACTCCATGTAATTAGGCTGTTCTGTTCTGCTAGGAAATTAAGTTGATTTGTATGGAGAAACATCAGGAATTTAGGCATGCAGAGATTTCTGGATCACCTGGCTTCTACAAAAGATTTATATTGTAAACCAAATAGTTGAATTAAATGTGCCTCTGCTTTGTGTCTAGATAACAGCAATGTAGAATGCAGGGATTTCCTGAACAGGCATGGTGTTAGTCTTCATCTGGATTAAGTATAAAAAGGCACGACAATATTTGGAAATAGCATTAGATGGTAGCGAAATGTTTTCAACTACAAAATCACATCTACCAGTGGGAAACAAAAATCAGATCTAATGAAGGCAAACTACACAGATGGTGTCCCAGGAAAGCTCTGGCAAATTGCTGCCACCCTCATTCTAGTCTGCAGGCCAAAGACAAAGAAGGACATTACTCCAGGAATTTGTAAATATTCTATTCTATGGTTGGTTATAATGTACTATAGGACTATCATACATTTTAGGTGTGACCAAAATTGAGAAGGTTGCTTTTGACCCAAGGCCATTTGAACTGCCTTTCAGCAAAGTTGACAAATTCTGGAAACATAAACGAATAGGTGAAATTTGCCAAAATGTTATGTCACCTTTTTTTTGGCCTAACCATATTATGTAATGGAAGGTTAAAAAGAGAGAAAGACAGGAGGGAGTGAGAGTCCCAATGAAATTCACACATGATCCACTTAGGAGGCTCTTTGTTGTTTCTTTCTTCTTTCCAAGTGGAACATGTGACTTAAATCAAGAAGGAAGTTTGGCAAGCAAAGATGAGAATTCAAGCCAAAAATTGAGCCTTCCATTCTTTGAAGAACTCAGGTATTTGGTAAATAAAACCCAAGCTAGACATACAGATTTTCAAGAAGTCAAAGGATGTTCTATCCTTTAAAAAATACATTAGCAGTTCTCAAAACCACCTGAAAACCCAAGTAGGACTCTACTTGGTCAGATATTTGATCAAGTGATTCTCACACTGTATAAAACTGACAGGGACAACCCTGGGAGTTGAATTGAACCTGACTTAACAAAAACACATCCTGGTATTCATGACTCTCTGTTAGGAAGTCCATGGAGGTAGGTGGGAACCGGAAGTTAGGGCTCAGCTGGGGAATAAATTAGGACTGGTCACAAAATTTAAAGCATTCTTCTTCATTTGCCCATGAGTGAATATTAGGAAATTGGAAGCCCTAAGAGTGACTCTTTAATTGAATCCTCACTGAAAATGTAACATAAGCAAAAGATTCTCTTTACTTCCTTAAAGCAAGTCTTATATCACATTAAAAAAATTGCTCAAAATTGCTATACATACAAACAGCTCTATGTAGCACAGAGACCCCCACGGTTATTGCTGAGGTGTCAGGGAAAAGCACATTAAGTACAGTTTCCAAAATATATCATTGTATTTTGTTAGTAAAAAGGTCAGTTATACAAATACAACTAAAGTTGAAATGTCTATTCGAGAAGTAAACGCACACATACCCACAGTCACACGCCATAGCACCTCCCAAGAATGTTCCTCACCCAGCGACTTCTACCTCAGGAGCCGCAGGGCACCGCAATGCTTCAGCACTGCTGCCTACAGGCAGGCAGGCCACGGCGCAGAGCAGGGTGAGAACAGTCAGGGAATGCTCTCAGGGCCTGCCAGAGAGGGCCAGGGGTACGTTTTCCTGATGTGGGATGTCACGGAATAGCTCTGGATGCGGGGAGGGAAGGCCGGGAAGAATGGAGGAACACACACCTGGAGACTGGAGACTACACCTCTGTCTTTGACATCACAGATTTGTTTATTCTCAAAGTACGGGTCTACTAGAAGAAAGAACTTTGCAGGAGGAGCATACAAAAGGGAGCTTTTCCAATAGAAATCCCAAAACCACGTGACACAACATCTTTCAGCCAGGGCACTGAGTGGGTTGAAACAGCATTCTCCCTTACAGAACCTGTCTTCTCCAGACATAGCTAAAAGTTATTTTCATCAAAATGCACAACACAAACAAATAAATGAGATTATTGTCCGCAGGTATCAGCCCGTGTGGCCTTCGTTGCGACCGCTATCTGTAAGCCCCTGATATTTTGTTAAGATCTCTTGTAAAGAATTAGTCTTCGGAAATCTGCCAGCATTCATATGGCGGCACAGTCACGTGCTTTTGTTTTGGGTTCATGTGACGAAGGCGGGTTCAAATCCCCCAGGAAGCAGGACTGCTTCAGCCCCCTCCTGTTTTCTCCGTGGACCTGTATGTGTCTTTGTAATTTTGTTACAATTGGGTGAGGCTGCCAGGAGCAGGGCAGGGATGCCCTTGGAGAATGCCTTCCAACAGTGCATTTTCATACTTCCTTTGTCATAAAAATTAGAGCAAATGGGCTTTTATATCTCCAAAAGTTGTTTGAATGGCAGAGTTTCTTATGGCGTGTGGGCAAGACACGAATTCTGCTTGTGGAGTTACTCAAGGCAGCAGAGGACCTGCTTAAGCACAAACCCAGCGTGCAGCAGGATTTCTCCCTCCTTGTCTGGAAAGCAGCAGGACCCTGAGGATGCTTAAGTCACTCCGGGTTGCAGATCATGCAGCCAGGTGATGGCTTCCTCCCCTTTGCGTGCAGGAAGAGGAATCTTGCAAGACGCCGCCTGGACTAGCGTTTGGCAACTGTGCGGACTCAGAAGACACCAGGAAACACCACGGCCGTCTCACAGCAGCGGTAGGTTCCCGGATACTATGGACAGGAGTAAGAGCTCACCTTCTGGGTGCGCCCAGCCACGCGCTAGCAAGAGACAGCAGGGGACCAACCTCGTCCCCACGGCTCCCTTCGAACGCAAAAGGGATCCTCTAATCTAGTCCTTCCTTAGGAACTGAACCCCTCGAGACCCCCTGTGCGGGCACCGTAGCGGAAGCTTGCTCGTCGCTGGTGGGCGAGGCTCGAGGGGGCCCGTCTCAGGGTTCCCTTGGGAGCGTCGTACTGGGTCCCGGGTCTCGGCCACCTCAGAGCGGGGGTCTCGGGGAGAGGGGGTTCTCATGCAGGATGAAGCTGTGCGTCCCGACCTTCTCCGCCCTTCCGTGAAGGCAGCCGGGTCTCTCTGAAGGCTGAAGGTGAGTCCAAGTCCTTCTCTCTTTCACTGATCCCCGAAAAGAAGTTTTCAGCACTGGGTCCGAGAAACTTGCCTTGGATTTAAGCGCAGAAGAGACGGAACTGGTTCTCCTCTTTGCGACTGCCTCAGCTGGAGCACGGCCTCCGGCTCTCACTTCCGGAAAGGCGTGAGCTTATTGAAGGTGTGCCAGAAGAGCGAAGGCTTCCTCTTGGGTTCGGCCAGGGCGAAGACTTGCTGCTGGGGGACGCTGGTGGGCACGGTGACATGGCGCTGGTGCAGGGGGTGCAGGCCCTGGTGCGGCGGGGCCAGGGGGCAGCCGCTGTAGCCTACATCGAGGGGGAGAAAGACGGGACAGGGACTGAGGGTCACTTGTTAACTGAAAAGGAAAAAAAACAGAAAGTGCCAAGACTCAAAATTCTTAGCTGATTCTTAATTCACATTAACCAACAGAACTTCTAGTAGCTACACGAGACAGACTCATTATGCGTGTGGAGCCCGACACAGGTGATCTCACTGAGTCCTCCCAGAAGCTTCCAAGGAGGGGACCGTCATGCCAAACTGACAGGGAAGGAAACTGAAAGCCAGGGAGGTCGTGTGGCTCCCCTGCGGCCACGCAGAGGACTAAGCGGCAGAATCAGAACCCCACTGATGGGATGAGAAACAGTGAAAGGCTCTGAATGAAAGCCCGGAGCTTGTATTGCCTCGGCCCAAATCCTTCTCTGCCACTTATGAGCTGTGTTGATTGAGGGAAACCGTTTGATTTCTCTGGGCCTCAGTTCCCTAATCTCCAAGGTTGGGATCACAATACCTACTGGGCTGCCATGGGAGTTAAATGTGTTAACGGAGGCACTCAGAACAGTGCCCCAGTACCGGACTGCTCTCATCAAAACTGGTTCACGAGCCGGGCGCGGTGGCTCACACCTGTAATCCTAGCACTCTGGGAGGCTGAGGCGGGTGGATTGCTCGAGGTCAGGAGTTCGAAACCAGCCTGAGCAAGAGAGGAACAGAGGAAGGGGCCCGACGGATGTCTTGGAAAGAACTTCAAGAATTACAGCAAAATTGAGTCAGGGTAGCATCCTTTACGAGCAGCACTTATTTAGAGACTTAGCTCCCTTTTAATTCAGATTGCGGAACTCAAGTTGTTCTCTCAGTGGAGTCTGCGAGGAAGAGTCCCCAGCAGCCAGGTTCTTGCTCACAGTGATTTTTGTGCTTACCTGGCAGTTTCTCGAAGCCTGGACCTTGGGCAATGATGGGTGATGGACAGAAACTGAAGACCAGTGACAGTGCGCCGGTCGTTGACCTGGATCCTTGAACTGCCTTGCACTGAGTTGGATTTTTCAAACTTCTGTGTACGTAATTCCTTTTGATTTGTAGACATTTGTGTAATGTAACGGTTTTAGTGCCCCTTCCCTTCATGCATGCACACCTACCTGTACGAAAGGACATGCGTCACCATTTGTTCCACGCCTGTGACCGTGATTCTCGGCTTTTCCTTCTTAAGTGTCATTAACATTTTCTGAAACTTAAAAATAGCTTCAAGTGGATTAACCGTACCCAAGGCTGCTCCCCCAGCGTGCAGAGGAGACCTGAGTCGGGAGGCAGAGGCCGAGGGGCATGGAGCCCCCCCTGGGCAAGGCACCGCCCCGCCCTACTTACTCTCACTCTGTCTCAATTTCCTCATCGATCTACAGCCGCCAAAATGCTGAGGGCCCAGGGTTACGGGGGAGGATTGCAACGGATGGCATAAACTGAGCTGAGATCTGGTTCTCGTGCATCCACTGCCGGTCCGCTCGGTCCTAAACCCCACCAGACCCTCTAGTCCCTGGTACAGGCGGCTCTGGCACCAATGCCGGCGTTCTGCACCATGCGGCCTCATCTCCAACCCCTCCACCCCGAGCGTCTTCCGTTCCCCTTCCTGCCTGTCACCCATGTGGCCACCCTGAGCCCCCACCCACGCCTCTGGCTCCGTGGGATTCGCCCCACTCAAACCCGGCGGTGTCCAGCCTGACACGCTCCTGAGCTCCGCATACCCAGCTCAGAGCCCCGCCCCGGTCCCCAGCCGTCCATGCCACTCGTGTCTGAGTTTGCACTCCTGCCCCACACAGAGCTCGCAGCAGTGTCGCCGACCTGCCAACGCGGCAGCGGGACCTGCACCTGACCTCCGCATCCTTCCTGCCCTGCCATCCCAGGTGGCCGCGCCTTAAAGGGCACCTGCCTCGGGGCCATCCTCCCGGGCAGCAGGTGGCCACAGCTTTGCCGCCTCCTCGGGTAGGGGGAACCGCCGTGCTGGGCTCTCACACTACGCCTCTCACTCCCATCCCACCACACAGAGACCCCGACAAGTGCCTGGCTTTGCCGACACCCCCAAACCCAGTTGGACCATCCGCCCCGGATCTGCCTGGGCTGTGTGAAGCCCACCCGGGCGATTGGGAACCTCTGGCCATGGATCCTCGCGGGAGGAAAGGACTCAATTCCCTGAAGCCACTCGGTTCATCCACACCATCACGTGTGTCTCCTCTGGCTGATTCACGTGCTCCACTCAAGTCTGCTCCAGGCACAGGAGTGAGTGGCTCGGTTTACGGGTCATCTTCCTCACAACTCTTCAGAAGAAATGCACTGCACGTCTTTATTTCCACGTCCTTCCTATACACCGGTGCCATTTTGAGGCGTCCTTGGTTCGGGCTCTCGGCCTTCCTGCCACCCAAGGCGGCCCCCCTGAATCCAGCCCCAGAGGGGCAGCAGACGGCTGTGGAGGAGGGGATGTTAGGAGTAACAAAAAGTGGGAAGTAGCCACTTGGCAACCTTCTTAGGAACCTTTTCTGATTAGTCACGCAAACAAATGGCTATTGGACTTAGCTTTTCTGAGCTGTTAATAGAGAAGGAAATCTTACCCACCCCACCCCCAAGGGTGAGTCCAGGGCCACTTGACCCACCTCCCGTCGGGAGGGGGCCCGTCGCGCTTGCTGGCGTCCAAGGCACACACAAACACGCGTTCTGTTTTCCGCTCGCTTTTGCGCTCCTCCTCGCAGAAGCTGCAGCCACCAAGAGGGCTGGGACTTCGGAGTGTCCACTTCGTATCTCACTCCGGCATCCGAGTCTGATGACGTCTTTCAAGTCAAGCAGCTGCTCTAGGTCCTCCCCTCAGAACTTTCTTTCTCCCCACACCTCCTGAGTCGTTTGAGGGGAGCTCACGATGGATGAACTGCTAGCTGCCAAAGAGAGTCGTACAATGTCAGGGCGGGAGCAGCATCTGCAAACCCCAGAGAACTCTCCTGGCATCACTCACTATTTTTTTCTTTTAAATCTATCTTTATTTTCTACTCAAATGCATTGCGAGAACGGCCTTGGCAAATTAATTTTAATATCCAGATACAAAACAACAAATATACGATTCACAGCATTTACAAGAATATTCATAACATTGTAATATATATATAGGTATATATTTTTTTTTTTTAAAAAAACTTCAGTCAACAAAAATAATATCAAGTTAAAGCAATCTCGCACACCGTACTTTAGCGTTCAACAGCTAATTCATCTGTTTGGAAGCCATCGCTTTGACTTAGACAGAAAACATCACCTTGAATCACGTCGTCAAGAGTTAAAAGTGTGCCAAAAGCCTTGCAAGTAGTAAGCAAGTCATACACAAGGCATGTTAATATTTACAAAATGGGCCACATTATTAAGATACAGAATCAAAGTATTTCTAAGCCACAAAATTCAATGCCCGTAGAGATGACTAAAGGCCAACAATGAAAAGTATTTGCAGCTGGACGAACTACATCAAATATTGAATCTCCCTGCTCTTTCCTTCAACCAATGTTTCCACTTATTTTTTAAGGGCCTTTGGAGATTCCACTTTCATTGCATTCTGGAACACGAGCCATTACCAAGGGAAATTTTAACAGAGAGAACAATTTGTAAGGTTAAACTTGACTACAGCGGAGAAGCTGGTCGTGCTGAGCAGGTTGAAGCTTAGAAGTGTGTTGGCCAGCATCCCTGGCCGTGAGCCAGAGAGACGTTGTTCATACTTGTTGGCCCGCGTCCGTGAGGGACGCTTTCTACGTTCTCTCTCCTGGATGAAATATAGTGCAAAAGCTTCCCTTAACTCCAGTAATTAGGCTGTGTCCTGTTCGCTAGGAGGAATTAAGTTGATTTGGTATGGAGAAACATCAGGAGATTTAGGCATGCCAGAGATTTCTGGATCACTGGCTTCTACAAAAGATTTATATGGTAAACCAAATATTGAATTAAATGTCCTCTGCTTTGTGTCTAGATAACAGCAATGCTAGGAATGCCAGGGGATTTCCTGAACAGGCATGGTTAGTCTTCATCTGTGAATATAATAGGCACGACAAGTATTTGGAAATAGCAATTAAAGATGGTAGCGAATTTTTCAACTACCAAATATCATCTACCAGTGGGAAACAAAAATCAGATCTAGAGAAGGCAACTACACCAGAGGTGTCCCAGGAAAGCCTCTGGCAAATTGCTGCACCCTCATTCTAGTCTGCCAGGCCAAGACAAAGAAGGACATGTACTCCAGGAATTTGTATATTCTATTTATGGTTGGTTATAATGTACTATAGGGACTGTCATACAATTTTAGGGTGACCAAAATTGAGAAAGCGTTGCCTTTTGACCCAAGGCCATTTTGAACTTGCCTTTCACAAAGTTGACAAAGTTCTGGAAAACATAAACGAATAGGGTGAATTTGCCAAAATGTTATGTCACCTTTTTTTTGGCCTAACCATATTATGTATGAGAGGTAAAAAGAGAGAAAGACAGGAGGGAGTGACAGTCCCGAATGAAATTCACACATGATCCACTTAGGAGCTCTTTGTTGTTTTTCTTTTCTTCTTTCCAAGTGGAACATGGACTTAAATCAAGAAGGGAAGTTTTGGCAAGCAAAGATGAGATTCAAGCCAAAATTGAGCTTCCGTTCTTTGAAGAACTCAGGTTTTGGTAAATAAAACCCAAGCTAGACATACAGATTTTCAAGAAGTCAAAGGATGTCTATCCTTTAAAAATACATTAGCAGTTCTCAAAATCACCTGAAAACCAAGTAGACTCTACTTGGTCAGATATTTGATCAGTGATTTTACACTGTATAAAACTGACAGGGACAACCCTGGGAGTTGAATTGAACCTGACTTAACAAAAACACATCCTGGTATTCATGACTCTCTGTTAGGAAGTCCATGGAGGTAGGTGGGAACCGGAAGTTAGGGCTCAGCTGGGGAATAAATTAGGACTGGTCCAAAATTTAAAGCATTCTTCTTCATTTGCCCATGAGTTAATATTAGGAAATTGGAAGCCCTAAGAG